AGTGAAGTCTCATCAGTATACAAGGGTGATGATGATAGCAAAATCTAGTCTACACTCTCACTCTCCGAGTAACAAAATTTGCAGTGACAATAACGAGATCACTTTCTAAGTCTTTAAAGTAAAAGATGAATTCTGTCTGAGGAGAAAAATGTTGGGTTTTAGTCAAGGTTTCTGGTAAACTGAGCCTCTAAGAATTTCCTGTGTCAGTATGCGTTGAGAGGCAAAATGGAATGGACTTGCTGAAAGCAGCTACTAAACAGACCATTTAAAACAAGCACCTCACCTTCCTCTCTGCATATACTGGGGGTTTCAATGTTTACTTGCTGGCATTGGTAACAGCCCCACTTTTGATCCATTAGGCCAAGGGGAAGAGCCTGAAACTTATATTTTATAGAGACTATTGACATCCTGCCCTACCAGCTACTGTGGTTTCTATGAAATAATTCAAGATAACCAGACATTAGCATTTCCCAAACTCCAATCTTCATAGCAGGCCCCTGCAAGCTCAGAAGGACAGTAACATAGTGATGGGAAAGTCCTCAATAAAGTCAGAGTACCTTGAGCAACACACAGGTCATCAGGCCATACGGCCAGTCTGACATATTGCCTGTTGATGGATGAGCAGTCTCCGTACTTTAGAGCTTTCTTGGGCCAAAAGAGTGACTGTTGGTCCTCTAAAACCTAGATTTCTGGGGGAGGAAGGGACAAATAGCAGCCTAGCTCCAAGGGGTCCATCACTGCAGCAGTGGCACAAATGCCTGTGAAGGCTTCACCTTTGTATATTCCTTCAAGGCAGAAAGCCCAGCAACCCACCGCAGAGCCACTAGCCCTTTTCTGTCTCTTCACTCCTCTGCTGATGCTGTCTGAGAGCTCAGCAAAAATCCATCCCACAAATAACAGCCTAGCTGCTAATGATGGGGTAGAGCTAAGTGTGTTTATCCATTGCTGTCCCATCTTGATGCAACAGAAACTCCTGCTAGAGTTGACCTGAGGAAGCCAAGTGAGGAGGATCCTGTGACCCTTTACTGAGATTCTTGCCAAACTAATAACAAATTTCAGTGGTGGTAGCATGATATGATCTTGAATGAGGACCAAGAGGAGGAGGTGTCTGTAGAGCCAAGCCAAACACTGTGGGCACAGCTCCCAGGAGAAGAGGCAGAGCTTGTGCTTAGCTGGTTTTCTTTAAACAAAAAAAAAGCTCCTGTGACTTTCACAGCCAGTCCTATCAATGTCATCCTGCCTAATATTGATGAGTCATCCATCCTGAGATCCTTTTCTGGGTAAATCTGTGGCAGGCATGAGCCAAGGCAGGGAAGTTCTTGGAGCCTCAGCCAGCTCTGCAGCAAGGCACCCAGAGCATGATGCTACCAGCAGCTCAGTTCCTGCAGCACGAGAGGAACAGGGTAAGGAGGCTGGTGACAAGCCCATTGCTCCCAGAGAGCAGGACTGCATGGCACCATTTGGTCTCAACCAAGGGGAGGGGCATGGAAACAAAAACTAAGAGAGAAAACAAGAAGAGGAAGAAAACACAGAAGGAAATGGAAGGGAATGTCTAGGGCAGGAGTCGAAGTAAGGCACAGGTAAGGAAAAGAGCAGGTGGTTTGGGAATAGCAAGAGGACCATGACGAAGGAAGAAGCACAGATGGATGGAGAGCAGACCTGGCCACCCAGAACAAAGGACAACAGAAATCCCTTAGAGCAGTCAGTCCTGTATTCGTACACATGCTTCAGCTTGTATTTCCACTGCAAGGCTCTCACATACACTCTGGAATGGATTTCATCATATATATATATATATATATATATATATAAACAGTGACATTTTTAACTTTGCTTCATTGTGGGAGTGGGGAAGAAGTCATAATTTAAAAACCTGGGGTAGCAATACTGCCTTTGCTGTGTGGTTTGTAGATCCAAAGAGAAGAGGCCTGTGTTGTAGGGGAAGATGTTGAACAGCTGTGAAAAAGTGTAGCAGAATTTTGCTTCTCTGTGAGAAAGCCAAATACATTGGTAAATATACAAAACCCAACAAAACTATTACAAAAAGTTTTTCTACAAATATTTTTCAGATTTTTTTGGGGGGGAATAAAAGCTCTCAAACCACAGTATTCATTTTCAAATGGTAAGAGAAATTACACTTTTCAAAATATTTTTAAAGATTTTTTTAATGTCAAAACCAAAAACAAGTTGTCATCTTCCCCCTGTCCCAGAAGCCTTATGAAAAATATTTTTCTCCCTGTACTGTGGATGTTCTCTTCTCCATAATTAGTATTTTCATTATGCAGAAAAAAGTGGTTTGCTATAATTTCATCCAGTGTCTGCAAGAAGGAAACATATGCCCAACTGAAGCAGTAAAAATGGAAAATGAAAACTTTTTTTTTTTTCAGTGGAGGTAAACTGTGAAAAAAGTTTGGAAAATGTAACTACAGTGAATCTTGTTACAGTGGGAAACAATCTATATCTCTGGTAACTCCTAAAAATATAAAGGTAATTCTTTGACTCATTCTGGGAACTTCAGAGGTAGGAATTTTACAAGTTATGAATCCAAATGTCACTCCCAAAACAGAGTTAAATTGTGTTTCTTCTGCTTTCTAAGTTTTACTGAACAACCAAGACACCTATGAAACGACCGTAAAATACAACAAAAAAGGTACACTTGAAAACCCCAAAGAACTCTTTCCCCTGCCTCCTACCTGCCCCAATCCCTCAAAACCCCACAAATCTAAGCAATCCCTTACTCCAAGATCACCACACAGCCTCTGGATGTCACAGTATGGAAGAACACCATGCACTAAGGCATGTTAGGCTGAAATTTCGCGTCTGCCCAATACTACACTAAATCCATTGACTGCTGTCAGCACAGTTGTACAGGAGTGACCTTGTCTCCTTCTAGGGTGAGCCAAGCAGAGCTGTGGGCTTGTTCCTGGGGCTACCAGGCTCCTCCATCTCTGCACAGCCAGAGTTCCAAGGTCTTGTGCTGCTGTTCACTCACAGCACTGGCCTGATCTTCCCATTCTTCAGCCACAAAGTGTGTGCACATGTTTTTACTCACAGGCACTTAATGTGTACATACAGGTATATTTATACATATATCCCCACCAAAAACCTAACTTACAAGGAGTCAATTCTCTACTGAGAGACTGTTAGTAGAGGAGTTACTCAAACAATAAATAATAGCCTTGCTCCTTTCTACACTAATTTTCTCCATGAAATGCAGGCCTGTGATTTTTTTTTTTTACAGCAGAAGGATGTCATTTTCTTGTTTCACTTTCAATATTCTTCAGCCTTAGTTAATTTCACAGGCCAGGGAACAGAGATGATTCTATGATTCCACTGAATCTGGCTCAATAGGATTCTTTCCACCCTATTTCCCAGATGTACATTTGATTTTTCTAATGTTCTCCCTGATAAAATAATCCTACAGCTCACTCTGTTTTACATTGCCTCTTTTCAGCCCCTTGCTCTCCTCGCAGCAGAGCTGAAAGGCAAGGAACTGAGGATCCCTGTTCAGAGTCAGCCCCCTGCATGTTTCTTGACCATGCAGGCTAACAGAGGCTCTGTTGTGCTCTGCACTGATAGAAATGTCCCAGCCAAGGGAGTGAAAGGCAGAGGATAGATTCATATTATACAATGTTAGCTATCAAAATACAGCTGGACCTAAAGAGCCTATTCAGAACCTCTAGATCGTGCTTTAAAAGTAAATAAGGTGTCTCAAACAGCTGCCTTAAAAATGCAGCTTAGTGAAACAGTTAAGACCATTTTACAAAGTAGCATAAGAAGCTGGGTTTGTTCTATTAGTTTCCTTAAAAGCCAAAAGAAAAATGCAAGAGACTAAACTTTAAATACTGAAGTGGCATATTTGGTTAATAACTAGACAAACGCCATAATAGGATTTTGCTAAAGGCCAGAAACATGCAAATTATTTGCCCTAGATGATGCAAATTAGGGTTAGTTTTAAATTTTGTTATTAACTTTCGAAATCTGTTATTAGGTGTGAAAGTCACACAGGCAAACAGGCCCAGCATTAGGGCCTCTCTACCACTCCTACCCCAGAAAAGCACTTTACGGCCCCTATTGCCACAACTCTGTAACTCCTTCCCCTGAGAGCAAAGGTGATGAAATGTATGGAGTCTGGCCACAGGGAAGAGAAAGATGCTGCCATCTCTGCTTAGTCCTCATGTTTCAAAGTGCCATCACAGAAATCCAAACCAGCACTCAATTCTTAGGGAGCTGTCCCCTCAGAATAAAAAAATAGAGACAACCATAATGGTGCCAGGCTCTCATGAGGAAACTGAGAGCTCTGAACTAAGCTGTTGCCAGTGACCAGGCACAGTACACAGACGTCTTTGTGGCTCTGAAAGGCACAAACTCCCTGTTTCCTCCCATGAGGAACCTACTCCTGACCTATTTTTGGCCAATAGACTTCATCAAGGCAGGAGATACTCTCTGCCTATACATAGGATATGATTGCGAAATGTATCTGCACAGAATTCAACAGCAACTTTGCTCTCCATTAACCTATTTGTTTTTTCATTACCTGCACGGTTCATGATTTCTCTCATTAATCACTAAACTCCATTATTAAAGCCAAGAAACATTTTTATGAAGTTGAGTAGAAAACATAATTACTGTTGTAGAACAACCACTGCATATTAAATTTAAAACAAGCAGAACCCACAAGCAAAGAACCTGTCTTTTGACTTCAACATATTTGTCCTGGAAAAAAAAAAGGCAAAGAATTTATATGACTGAAACAGTTCTCATATACTATTGTGACCAGCCAGCTCCTTCTTCATTCTGCTCAAATTATCACAGTGGAGACATTGCTGTTGACCTTTTGGGACAATACTTTTAAACAGATGCTACAGCAAACATTTTAACTGTTTTGAAATATCTGTTTCTTGTCAAAAAAAAAAAAAAAAAGATGGGCTGGTTGGGAGGGAACAGCATTGCTACTGCTAACAGAGGAGTGACATGCCAGTGCATTTGTGACACCTTACCTTATCCCCTGGCTGTGGTCTCATAAGAGAGACTTGATCATAGCCCCGTCGAACCAAAGCCCACAGTGCGTCAAGTTTGCCCTGGAATACAAAACCAACAAGATATGACCAAGAAATTTGGTGAAAATAGCATGAGATGAAACTACAGGTGAGTTAATGCAGCTTTCCTGTATTAAACTGTCTGCACACACACTGGTCCTGTGCCCTCGCCCTCTGTACACTGCTTATCTGGACAACCAGAAGGACCTCTATGGGGTAACACATACCCAATATGCAGTGGGCCAAATTCTGTCTGCTCAAAACTCACTGAGGATGACAGCAGTTTAATGTGAGCAACTCCCTTAGGAGAGACAATCAGACAGGTGTTACATTAAGGTATTAATGTTACTTGAGGTGTTACAAAAGGCAAAACAAAACTACTGTACTTATGGGAAGAGAGCTGGAACACTGATAAACAGCCACAAAGCTTTAAAATTCACAGATACTTTCCTGACGATAAATTCAAGCACTGTTTAATTCATCTGTGACTATGGTGGGGAGGGGGGAACTCATCCCACAGAGTACTGTTTTGGGACATGGCCACAGATTTCTGGGATGAGCATGGTATGCTGCTCCCTCTGTAAGCAGAGATAACAGCTATTCCCTGCCTCAAGGGTTATGTGAGGACACATACATTAAAAGACATCGAAACACTAGATACTATAATTACATGGGGAAAAATGGGGATGAAAGTGTGGAGAGACTGAGTGACTTGCCCAAAAATCAAACACTTGGTCTTGTGGCTGAACTAGAGGGAAACAGAGCTGGACTCCAACCCAAGGCCTTAGCCACGATGCAGTCAAAGTAAGGATGGTGCACTTTATCCGATCCTCTTTTTGACTACCTTGAGATGGCATAAAACAGCATCCTTCCCCCTAGCAAGAGTTGAGCAATCTGTTACAATCCACACTGTATCTGGAAAGACAGTGTGAGTTGAGGAAAGGCTCATGCCCTTCACTCTTCCTCAAAAATCTATGGCAATACAGTGCCAGGTGAGATGCATGTTCCAAGAAACAAGCAAAGCTGAGGATTAACAGTTACTTTTCCAAATAGGCTTTCCCAGCTCTGCAGAAAGAAAGGTTGTGCTAAGGAAGTGGGATGTAGTATCATATATGACATGAGAGACTTGATAAAAATGAGGGTCAGACACATTACCTTGATGGGAGTGTACCATTTTCGCTGGGAAGGTGGTTTTCTCACATGGGGCTTCTTTGGCTTAGGTTCCCAGGGCTCATACTCCTGTTCTGGTAACTTAATAATAGCGTTTTTGGGTTTCTCCAATTTTGCTCCTTCCTCTGTTGACCCCTTGTCTCCCCATCGCACCTGAAGACAGGAGAGCACACTGCAAGTAGAGACACTTCAGCAGTCCCCACTGGTAAGTGGTTTCCACAGACATTAATCTAGTTCCCATCAAATGTCCCAGTGCCACCAGAAATGAAGTCAAATTTATGAAAGCACCGAACTCCCACCGTAATCAGAAATACACATTTAAGAGTAAAATAGTCTCATTCAAAAGCTTCTTGAACTACTAGCCTTTTCACCTTCCAGTAATTTAAAGTGGTGTGGGAATTCACAGCATCTGGGGCAGATAAGAATCATTAAGACTGGAAAGACCTCTAAGCTGATTGAGTCCAACTGTCCAACCATTAACCCAGCAGCACCACGTACGCCATTAAACCATAGCTCAAGTGCCACATCCACACACCTTTTCAACACTTCCAGGGATGGTAATTCCACTTCTTCCCTGGACAGCCTGTTCCAACTCCTGATTACCCTTTAAATGACATTGCTAGAAGTCATCTTTAGGCCCTCAGCTGATACAGGTGAATGACAATCCACTGACTCCCTGGAATGTACATGCCACAGGACACCACAAGGCAGATTCTTTTCACAGTGACACCTCACACTTCAGGACTGACTTGTGTATGAATTGGATTTGGTTCATTGGCCAATTTCAACATAGATGTGCTTTTGTGTATCAGGAGTTAATGCTTAAATGGAAAAAAAAATGCAAAAGAAAAAGAAAAATCACTGGTTTAAATTCCTCAAACCAACTGCCTTCAGCCTTTGCATAGATGGCACCCTCAAATACTTAAAATCAGTGTAGCCCTGTCTGAAGTCTTTCTGACAAGAGAACTGGACACAACTGCACTGAAGAGTTTGACTGGGTAAATTAAAACCTCTTTTGGTGTTTATCTCATTTCTTACCCTGCAAGTTTTCTCTGGCTCATAATGCTAGATTCATTTAATTATTCACGCAAATGATAGCAGCTTGATCTCTGTTACTTGGACAGCAGGTGCAAATCAGGTAGACAAGCCCTAATTAAATCCCAGCCTCCAGTCCATCAAAAGTCACATAAAAACATATTGGTACAATTTTTAACTAAATGTGATAGGTTTTACAACACTAAAGAATAAGCCAAATACCTCCATCCTCTTAATCCCACCAACACCTCGACCTCCATAATAAGATGCATCCACAGTTGGCCACTTTTTCTTTGGCAATCCATCTTCATCATCTGATTCCTGTGGGAAAGACAAGGAGATATTACAGCTGTTCTCACATAAACAGCAAAAACTATGGAAAACAGCTGAATATCCTATGGTCCAGTCCTTGGATATCTGGCTTTGTGTGTTATGCTTATTTGCTGATCAAAAAGAAAAAAAAAAAGTCTCTTGTCTCTGCAGCTGCAATTTTAACTAGGAAAGCCAAAGAAGACTGTCTATTCCTCTCCCCAGGCAGCTTTTATTTAGTCAAATATGCACTGAGCTCCAAAATCCCAACTGACTTGTAAGGGATGGCAAAATGCAGATGAATCTCACACTATACTGGATTGCCACTATGCTATGCAGAAAATGCAGCAATCAGTTAGCCCAAATAACTAATTTATTAATTGCACTTTTAGAAATTAATGTCACCTAACAGAGGAAAACACAGTCAGTTTTCTACACGTTCATCAGACCCTTTTCTCATGGCAGTTGTAACAAGTTATTCTACACCACTTGATTCTTTGCAGGCTCAAGCTGTACAGTTGGAAACCAGGAATCAGACAGGAGCATCTCCAAATTGTCAGGGAGCTCAGATCCAGAACAATTATGAACACTGCAGGTTATTTTTAAGGAACATGCAAGTCAGAATCAGAGACTTACTTCAGGTTCATTTTCTATTCTTGCTTAACTAAAAATTGGCAGATATTTCTGGTTCGACAACCCTGGGGACACATCTCCAGCTCTATCATCTTGAGCCAATAGAAGTCACTGATATATGAATAGATTTCTCAGACTCCTCATCATTACACTAAGTCAAGGCACCTGAAAGTCACACCATGACACTCTCCAAGTACACACATAAATGAGGAAAGGGCCCAACAAGCCTCCTACAATATTATTTTCATTCCTCACACACTAACAAAGACAAATAACTATACCTTGTGCTGGTATGCAGATGTGTGTGCTGCTCTTGGACTGGCCATGCACAGTGCTCTCTGCTAATTTTCATCAGTACAGGTATGTTTCTAGAAACACTACCTGGACTTAACTTTTAATAAAAAAAGTAAAATTAAAAGAATCAAGTGAAATCCAAATACTGTAGATGGACATAAATTACTGTCACATTACTAGCTGGCAGTTTCTCAAAATTGCCTTTTGTGTTTCTATTGGAATGACAGGAATTGACAGCCCAAAAGTCAAGAATAGCTTTTTAAAAACATAATTTAATTTTTATTTGTTTGTATTTAGCTCTTAGGTTATGCCTTGGAGAAAGGATTCCATCAGTTATTCAGTGACATGTGATCTCTCAGCTATGGTTCAATGGGTCAATTCCTCTAACAAATTTTTCAGTATGGCCAGAAAAGGCTAGAGTTGACATTTCCATGAACTAGTAAGGGGAGTTTGAGTTTGGGGGTTTTGTTGTTTTGTTTTGGCTTTTCGGTTTGGTGTTTTTTTATGATTTATTATTGTTGCATTTTGGTTTTATCCTAATTCAGGGAAATAAATATACAAGAAAGGTATTGTGGTTTGGTGTTGGGGTTTGTTGCTGTTTCACTTAGTTGGTTTTTTTTAAAGAGTATAACAAATGCACAAATTTTATCCCACTTCATGCCACATCTAAACCAGTACCCAGTGAACTACATCAGCATTTTTAATATGTTTATATTTAATTGTGAACCTGAGTACTATATAAAATACTCTGCCTTTTCTATGAGATATAACACAGATTACAAGCATTCATGTCTAACAGCTCTTGCTGCTGGCAAGCCTGACACTGGCAAGACACAGTTAATAATGACAGCTGATATTTTTCCAGCTAATACAGGATTTATATGAAATATCTCCAATACTGAACATACAGCATAGAAACATTTACAGCTACCACATGGAAATCTAATGCTTGTGGTTAAGTTTCACATAACTATATATAGTTTAAGAGCAGCAACACCAAACTGCATCAGCTAAAGGGCAAGTCACCAAATCTAGAGAGGCTAGTGCTCAGTGTAATGAAACAACAATCCATACTGGATAAAGACAAGGCCAAGTAACGAGATGGATAACATCTGTATTCTGCATTATTCCTGGAGGCTTACATCAGTTTAGTCTCTTTTTTTGCATTTAAAATTTCTGCTGATGACAATAATTGCAAAGCATCTGGGAACTCTGCTGCAGGGGTGTAATGCTCTCTGCAACCTTCAAACACAGCATGGCTGCAATTGTACACTTTGTGATAACACTAATCACACTAAAAACATGAATTTTGGTGTGTATTCTGAAGTTAAATTGTTACAGTGCTCAGGACAAGCAACAGGATCACATACACAGTAATGGTGGCCTCTAGCAACCTCAAAACAGCAGCTGTCGTTGCCTCCTCATATTCATGCCAAGTTACAGCAAGTTAGCAGCAAACTGTAAGACTCTCTTGTGGGTTACCAAGTATTTTTCCATCATTTAACTGTCTATGCCTATGAAAGAAATAAAGGCAGGCATAAGTTTTCTCTGGAGTAATTTTATTTACTTCTATTTTCATGAAATTAGTACAGTGCAACTAAGCTGAGGTCAGGGTCAGTGAGTTACTGTCTCCAAAAGAGCTAAATAGAACCCTGCCTCAAACAGCACAACCTAAATGACGAAAGGCTAAATGTCCTTCCAAAGGTCACTCTGCAGAAGAGCCACTGCCAGGGCAGGCTTTTGTCTCCCTCTCCTGTAGCAAAGCCACAAGAATGTGGCCTTTGCTGTCCTTTCTTCCAGCTGCCAGACTGTTCCTTACTGCCAATCTGCGCTAAACTCCTGCTGAGAACAATGTCAGCTTTACTGGAGGAGGGACAGCTGTCAGCACAGACTGAGAAGCAAAGACTTGCTTACACACCTGTTTGAAGCACAGCAGAAGGAACAAAATACCATAGGAACTGTTGGTCTGTGGACTTCTGAGTTATGCAATTATTTTCTCTCTGGATGGAAGCAGCCTTGCTGTATGTATATAAAGAAGCCAGAAGGCAGAAATAACTGCCCTGACCGAGAGGACTTCCTTTCACAGCCTTCAAGGTGTCATTAAGACACCTACAGGGGTGACATTCCTGGGCAACACAATACACTACAGTGGCTGCAGAAAGTGCAACAGCTCCAAAATAGCATACTCACAGGCTCTGGGGGTGGTGGTGGTGGCGGCTCCTTGATCACCTGGAATATACAAATATTGGGAGAAATCTGAGGCAATGGTAGGGTTCATCCATCTCAATGCTTTGTTCTCTTTGTTTTCTTGATCATATCACAAATGAGTTGTTGTGCTTCATTCTCATACATGCAATCCCTACAGAAACTTAAGCAACACCCACAAGCTTACTTAAACTTCTCATTCAGTGTAAAAATCACATATGCCTTGAAACAATCAAAAACCCAGACTAGAGTGACTTCAACAAGCACTTCAAGCAACTTGTTGAATCAGGGCTTTACAAATATGGCAACATTTTTCTTAAGCAGTTAACCACCCGCTCCAACACTTTAGCTGTGTGCTTTTGCTGAGAACAGATAAAACTAAGTCAATAGAATAAAAAACTGTACTTACCACTGTGCAGCAAAGGGGCCAAAACCACCACAGTAGAGCCAGAGCCAGCAGCAGGAAGAGAATCAGGAGAGCAATGAAAAGGATGGTCCCAGTCAGCTGCAAATAAGATGATTACGTCTGGGTTATCTGCTATGTCTCAAAGAAGGCAGGAGCCCTGAAGTTACACATTTAGAATCAACTTTCACTCATTACAAGGTCTCAGGAAGATTGTGATCTTAATCTTCATTAAAATCATAACAGTATTTGATGTGACAAACCTGTATTTGAAGCCACAAAATCAGGGGAGCATCTCCTGTTTTGCAGTGCGTATATGCATAATTTATGTATTAATTTTTGGTATGTTTATAGCCCATTAGATTCAAGAGCCTTAAACCTGTACACAATCCATTTTGTGCTGACAGGTCCCTTAATACTGTCAGAGGGGCATTGCAAACTACATCACCACAGACTCTCAGGCATGCAGAATAACCTTTCATCACTAGAGGTGCAGAATATGCAAATGCTGATATCCAAGGAATGGGAATACTGGAGACAAGACCTTATGGGTAACTGTTTGCATGTCAGTATCACAGAACAGAGAACAACTTACTTGCCCAGAGCATCAGCTCCAAGCCTGCCTGTATTGCCTTGACCCAAACTGCACACACAACCCTTGCCTAAGTGATTATGCAAACTAGTCAATAATGCTGTTGGTTCTTGGTATGCTTCTTAGGGCTGGTTTGACAATTTTATGAGATGCTGTAATCATTATCTTAAGCACTTCTGATTCTTATATTCCATTGATCTCTCTGCAGAGAACAGTGAGACTCTGGGGATGGATAGCTAAGGGTCTACCTTCAAAATCCAACTTAAATTTTCTTTAAAATTACCAGAAAAAAAAAAGTAAGTTTCAACACTTGAAATTAGCTTCCTGGAGCAGGTAGGCAACCAAAGAGAATCACAGTTCTGATTTTTCCAGATAAATCTTGATGGATCCTTTGAACTTGTAGCATTTCACATCAGTGCATTCAGAAGAGGCATTAACTCTGTGTATTGCTCTGATGACTACAGGAATCAAGTTTTCATATGCTCCTTGGCTCCTGCAGAACACACAGAGCACATGGCTTTTGGAAATTAAACACTTGTCACAGATGGGCACTGCTGGGATGTGCCCTATCCTTGGACTGCACTGGTTTCGGGAATGATGTTAAGATTAGCTCCAGCTATATTTAAATTTTTTTTTATATATTGGGAAAGAAACCTCTTCAATGGTAGATTTTCAGAACTTGAGAAGAGGATCAATTCACCAGCAACACGGTAACAAAGACCAGGCAAAACTTGGCAGCAAACTAGAGGAGAGCCTGAGTCTAGGAAGATGTGAAAAGAGCTTGAAGAAAGGTCGGTGAATCAGGCTGAGGAAATAAGAGTTGGCTAGAGAGGAAGCTGTAAGGGATTTTCAAAAAAGGATAGGAGAGAGGACAAAGTGAAAGAAAGCAAATTCCAAAAAAGACTTAGAGATGACAAAACCCATGAGATTCACCTTATTAAATCTGAAACTACTTACTGAATTCCCATGACACCAGAAACTGATCCTTAGCCCCTTCTTACAAAAGGGGCTGTTCTAAGTGCATTTGTTTTCCCTTCAGATAACGAAAAGGCTGAGGGTGGAAAAGAAAGTTTTAGCTGATAAGAACTTGCAAAATCTGGGTGAGATCCCAAGTGATTAAGTTGAGTGGTAGTTAGTTCTTTCTCAGGCCAAATCCTAGAGCTGTCAGGACTGACGTGTTCCATACGGGATTTACACAAACACAGCCCCTACTCCACGCCTTTAGGCGGGTAACCCAGTACCCCCTGTCTGTGTCACAGCATCACCATCCCTCCACTGCTCCGTGGCTTTTTGTTATAAATACAACAAACTGACCTGTTTGGGAAAAGCTATTTAGCTCACCTTCATTTGGTCAGGGAGCAGCTGGAGTGCTGCAACATGTGTACCAGACTCCCTGCTCAAAGAAGTCCTGTTAGAGGACACACTACCCAGCTGCAGTTCAGCGCTACAGCCCCCCTCTCTGGCCCTCCTAAGGCCCCGTGTAGCACTAAAGCATCTGGAAAGCAAATACTTGAAGAGGTATTAATTCCCAGTGAAGTCAGTTTGCTGAGAAAAGGGTGAGTAAAAATCAAGTATAGCTTTAGGAAGTATTGTTGCACTCCTTAAAAACAAATCCAATCACAGTAGCTATGCAGTACCACTGCTACTATTACTCCAAACACACACTACCTCCTTGTTTTGTCACCTTTGTTCTCAGGCATTGCTTTTCTCATGCTAACCGCACATATAAATTGCTGTTTGCCATAGAAGCTCAGGAGCTGCTGGCAGCAAGAAGCTAGTCTTTCAGTGATTTTAATGACACAAAGCATCACAGAGAAGCTGGACTTTGAAAAGAAAATAGCAGACTTCATGCAGCTGAACAGAAATAAGCATCCCAATCACACAGAGGCGTTAGAAGTAAAGTGAAGATACTTACTGTATAGAAAGGACAGAAGGACCAGCTGGGGAGGAGAGCTGAGCAGGCCAGCTGACTGCCACCCACAGAAAAGGAAACAGGAGAGGAAAGGAAATAGAGGGAGTCTCTAAAATGAGAAGAGTGAAATGCATGAATTAAGATAAAGTTGGAAACTGAACTGCCAACCTCCCTGCTTATGGGATGTAACTGGAGTGAGTCAGTATTTTTGCACCAGCTGTGAATGAGGTTTCCTGCCTCCTTCACATTAAATCTGCAATAGGCTGGTCAAAAACTGTCAGACTGACAGGACTGGAGATTGGATTCCTCTTTTTATTCTAAGGCTACCAAGAAAAAAGCTTTCTCCATCCATGCTCTGGCATTAAGGAACCCCAGCTAGGGCTGAGACTTCAGTCTTCATCAGAAATAGGTTACATACGGGTAACTAAATGCACCATTTAACACTTTTGTTACACTGCAGACTTGAAAGGTTTTATTGTACTTGAGGTAAAAGAGTGGAATAAAATGTGGAAATATCAGTCTTCAGTGTTGAAAATCTGGAGAAAAGTTCTGTAAAATAGAAACGATCAGGTAAAGCAGTAAACACATCACTGCTAAATTGAGTCCCTGCACCCCAAAGTGTTTCAGCAATCTGTTGTGAGATTTCCCACCTTCATCACTGAAAACTTCAAAAAATGAGATCTGCAAGTTCCAGTCACTGCCTCTATCTGCATTCCCGCCCTTCTCCTCTGCAGCTGTCAAAATGGCCAACAAATGATTACAAGCCAATATGACAGCATTTGGCGTAGGCTATAAAAGTCCTTTTGACACTAATAACAATAAAGCTCAAGTTTGATACAAATTGTTTGCTATCAGGTACTTCAGCCAACTTGGTTTAGACCAGAAGCACCAGGTTACATCTTTAGTTACAGTGCTCGCTTGCATCAGCTATGGGCATTGCCTATTTTTACCCCAAAGGTAAGGAAGACAATTGCTTATCTAGTAGTCAGTTTCTTAATTTTGATTGTTTGATTCTAAAAATCAGACTTTGATAAAGGATTACTTCTAGCTGTTTTCCCTGACACTTCACCTGGTCTTTCTGACCATGAGATTCTTGTATCCTAACCATCACTGTCCACAACAGCACACTCTCCCTTGGTTGGGCTAAGCAGCAGCATTTTATTAAGACACTCATATCAGGATCTGAGAGTTCTATTTCTTTCTGGTCATCCCACATGACACCAAGAGAAAAAGCAAACAGATCCTATCACTAAAACTTAGAAAACACCTTAGCAAATCCTGAATTAGTAAAGGAAAACTGTGGTGGTCAAAGAACAAATGCTGTAAGCTCCAACCAAAAACAACCATGTCAATTTAGAGGACCTTTCATTCTGTGGCCCTTCCTGATCAAAGTCCTAACAGTTGCCTTTTTACTCCAGATCCCATTAGGTATCCCAAAGCTCAACAGGGTGTTGCTTCCTGATGCTCCTTCCATCATTTTCTCAGATCACCTGCCAGTAAGATCCTAGCTTTGAGGATCTCTCTCTTGGAATAGGAATGCCTTGTGTTGTAATTTTTTATTCAAGTAATCTGTCATGATTGTCTATCATCAATAACAATTTAATCTTAAGTAGCCCTGGTTATTTTTCCAAGAGCTGCTTCCATCTGGTCAGTAACTGTGATGCAGAAGCTGTAGAGAGACCATGCTCGCTCAAGAAGGCTTTGCCTAAAGAACCACAGTTTCTTTCCAAGATCTCCTGGTTTCTCTGTCAAGCCCCATTGCGATTACTTACACAATGTGTGCTGGTGATGCTGACAGAGCTGGAGATGAACGTTAGCCCATTGTTCATGCTGACTTGTAGGAAAACCACCCTAAAGCACAAAACAGATACACTTAGTGTCATATTTACACCCACTGTTACCTTTACTCTGGCTCTCTTTTAGCCACTGGCTCATAAACACACACGGACAGTGTGTCCTGCTGAGTCAAGGCATTTTCATGGCTCCAGGCACTTACCTGCATTTGCCTCTCTGCTTGCCCAGGAACTACCCTTTTTATGTTGCCTTAATTGAGATGGGACATATCCTCTTTATAAAAAAAACTCCTCCACCTGGGGCAAAGGGCACTAGGCCAGTGAATTAGAACAATGTCTCAGACATTTGCCATACTACCCTAAAGAGCACAAGAAACTAAGATTTTTTTTAACCCCCTTCTGCAACTTAATGCACGAGAATGTTTCTTTTGTAATTCAAGCAAATCCAGAATACATGCATAGAGGTTAAGGGTAAAAACACTGAAATAACAGTGAAATTTTAGAAGATTCTGTCCTTAGCCATTCTCCAATATTAGAGAAAGGATCTAAGGGGGGAAAAATAAAAAATAATAGTAATAAAAAAAGGACAAAACCCAACCAAACAAATTTGCTTCACCCACAAATACAAAGGGGGATAGAGGCCCAGTACAGTATTTAAGCACCCACAAGATCACCAAGGGGAAAGGTAGGGTATTATGCCATGTCTCCTAGGAGTCTAAAGGATTAAAACAGCTGAAAAATACCAACACTAGACAGAGCAGGGCAAAATACAGGAAGCAATATCTATAACAGCAGCAAAGCAATTCAAATCAAGCATCTCCTTTCAATCAAAACTAAAAGTTTGCCTGTAATTTAATTACCTTTTGGTCTGAAAAAACACGATATAGGAACAAAGGAGGAATCACCATTCTATGATATGGGGCCATGGTCCAGCAAGACCTTTGGTTAAACTGTCCTAAAGACCCAGCATTGAATAGGGCTATGCTGACTCATACTAGGAAAGGATTTGGCACAAAGGGGATGGCTGCAATCTGACACACATATACATAAATTTATTAGCTAGACACTTTGGGCAAAATTGTGAGCCTTTGGCTCAGTAATGACATCCTCATCCAGAAGTCCACTCTCTCTTGATACATGCTGGAAAGAAATACTTACTGTCCAACATCTTCTATCACTGGTGCCGGACAAAGTAAGTAAGTATCGTGAATAAGAGTCGGTTTTTCATCTGAAAAGAAATTAATATAACTATCAGGGATGAAAAAAAGAAATTGTTCCAAGCAGGCTACCCCCTGGAGAAGTGCTGACATGAATGACAGCCACAGATCAACTCAGTATATGTGAGAGTACCAATACTCCCCAGTGGTGCTGATTACCAACTAGAATAACCATTCATGTTGATGCCAACATGATGCTACCAGGCTAGAGGTATCACAGCTAAGAAATGGAAGTGTACCTCTGTTCCTGACAGCAGTGATCAGCCATTTGGAATTCAGCTTTGAGCAGCATCAATCATGCCCATCTGAAAAATGCATGCAACCTCTACTCATACTGAATACTCTGACCCCTCAATTACTCAAGGGGTCAAAAGTTTAGCGTTCAATTTTTATCTACCCACTGTCAAATACACACAGAGCAGAATCCAAGGTTGCACTGTTTGAGCCCAGGAGAAAGGAAGGACAGAGATGGGGCAGAGCTAAAACTGACAAATACTGGAGAAAAAAACCCAAACCAACCAGGACTGGTCATTTACAGGAGCCAAACAGAGAGGGGCCATGACTGGTGTTCCCTTGAGATCTACCCTGCACTAGCTGCTTCTGCTGTACCTGACTTCCCCTCTGTGGCAACATAAACTGCAAATAGCCCATGTTTATAAGGGTTTGGTACAGGCAGAGCCAAAAGCACGGTCATGGGTGTTTTCCCACCTTCTTGCACACCACTGCTCCAGCAGCCAGCAGTGTTAATCCTTTAGCTTTCAGAAGTCACATCCAGAAAGCCAAGTCCCGTGAACACAGACAGGAGGCCCAGCAGTAATCCTGCAATGGTATTCCACTAGAAGTGGGTAAACTGAGGCAGAAGAGCAGACACAGTACTGCTGTGACTATAGCTTAGCTCTAAATGGCCAGCAAAGCAGCTCTGGTGCTAGCCTGGAGAAAGACTGGTCTACAAGAGTTGAACCCAAGTAACGGGCTGATAAAAGCTGCCATCTTATTTACAGATATTTGTTTACTCTTTTTACCTAGGGAAAAAAAAATAATTCAAGCAACAACAAATCTAAGAGTTGTTCCTTCATGCTTTACCCACTTCAAGCACACCTGAAGACAGAACTCATTTCCCTGCCTTGGCAGAGATGACAGCATAAAAATCACTGGTATGTTTTAGGGTGAGCCTGAGGGCAAAAAAAGCCGGCCAGCCTAAACCAGCATCTCATCACAACATCTGTTGCAGACCTAACCCAAGGAAAACACAACATGGAGCTGGAATGGAATCAGAGTAGTTTTCCTCCTGTGTATTTCCAGGCCCAGGTCAGCACTCACTGTGTGAAGTCCAATCAAGGTGCTAGCGGATTGGGGACAAGAAAAAAAAAGCAAAAAGTCTGTTTAACTGATAAACCACAAGAAACAAATCCTGGTTAAAGGGCATCTGTAAGTGGAATGAGAGCGAGACCACCAGAGCTGATTTAATGCAGCATCCACGTAGCCAACTTGGATGGGAAATGAAGGAGCAATTCATTTGCTCCCTCTTGTAAGTGAATTCACTGCTAGAGAAGGCACCAGTCTGGGCACGACAGGATGTGAAAGCTTCTACTGTGCTCAGCCAACAAGGGTAGCATATACAAAAAAGGAGCAGAGCTTCCCCTTCCCACACCATGCTTCACCCTGCCAGACATACACGGTTTCTCAGGAGTCAGAGAACTGCTGAGAAACTGGACACTCAATCTTTTTTGGACATTCAGTCCTTTGCCTAGCTGCTGAGACAGCAAACAAAAGACCCTGTCCAGGGCAGCAATGACAGGGAATTTCCATGTTACACAGTCACTGTGGTGGGACCAGCAACTGGTGTCAGAGAGGAACAGAGCAGGCCTGGGAGGGCTTGGTTTTATTATGGCAATTGTCTCCTGAACTGGTGAATAAAAACTGAAAACACCACCACGGGATCAAGATAACATTACTTCTTTTTACTTGGAATGGGAAGCAATTTTTATTCTCCACCTTAAAACCTGATACCCGCTCTTCTCTGCCATATGCCTCACCCATGTGCATCACTACAATGATGCTGTGCAGCAGCATGCCCCATTTAAGCACTCAACACAATGCCCACAGGTCACAAGACTGAATAAGAATGAATTTCAAGCTTCCTTTAAGTGTAGATCTCTGCCCCAGCTCCCCCTCATATCTGCTGCAAGGACTCCCCTTAACATGGATGAGTGTTGGCCTGTGTTCCATGAGGTGACCCAGCCACAGGCGTCACTAGAATACACCAGCCTGCAAACTTACTGATAGTAAGGCTGTCATTGAGCTTGAAGCTGCAGAGTACTTGGTCAATATTTCTTGCATGGTAAAAGCCGTTGCCTCTTACCACAACTTGAAAGGATTCTGCAAGTGAAAATATAGAAAGAAGATTTATGAAAAATAAATAACAGCATTTCAGTTCAGAATTACCTGAATTAAAACATGACAATTACTGTTCTCTGCCCTATGCCTGAAAGAAAACATTTCCTCTGACACTCTCTCTGTTCAGTAGCAATGGCCAAGAGCATTACATGGCATTAGTGCTTTACAGTCTTCTCTTTGTCTTAAGTTGGCTTCCACAAGCGTAACACAGATCCACAATGCCTTGAAGGTGCCACAGTAAAACTAAGTCTGACTTGACTGATGTTATCTCATGGTTCCTCCGTGGCTTTTGGAACAGACACCTTGCACAAGGCACCAGTCCTTCCTCCTCTCTTCATGGCAGATGGCACTTGGCTGTAAGCAGCAGCTCTTTTCAGGCAGATGCTGACAGACAGGACTCCCTCTTAAATCCCCTGTGAACTAGAGAGAAAGCTTTGCATCTGATACAAACCCTGAAAAAAAAAAACAACAGTCCTCCTGCCTGTACAATAATTGAGTCCGTGCACAGCCCCACTCAGCATCTGCTCTGCATGGGAATACCTAAGGTGCCACCATTTTCTTTGTGCTCTTCCCCTGCAACCTTGTCCCAGCAGCTGAAACCACCAGTGGCACAAGAAGAGACCTGCCACAACTTCTGTTGCTTTATTCCTGATAGGGAAGGCACCTGTGATTTGTCATTACTGTGATAAGCAACTATGATTTGTTCATTCAAGCAGGAGAAGCATCATCGGGGTTTCTGGGTTTTTTTTGGCTAATGTTCCAATAGTCTTTTTACTGACAGAGCAGTTTTGCATTTGAACAAAGCCAATATAGGAAGGGTACTGTCAAAAGGGAGATCCCAACTGCACACGCCCTCCACTGCTGGCACCACTGATCACGTTGCAGTGCACTGACTTGCTCATACTCCTGGAAAATAACTTTATTGCCAGAGACACCAGTAAAGTGACTTGCCTAGCTGAGCATCAGCTGGAAAAAGCAGCATACAGGAGAAGGTAAGGGAGAGCGACAAGTAGTGGTAGCACCAAATGAGTTTATGTCTATCATGAAAGCACTTGGTGTCACCACATCTTTCCTGTCCCTAACTGTACTGGATAACTTGAGAAAGAAAATTATCAAGAAACCAGGCTTTGTTTTCTCAGCTTTTCCACAGCAAGCTTTTAAGGTTATTCCTTAGTAACCTATATCATTAACACTTCTCCTCAGAGCATTAGCAATAACAAAACTGTTTGCTGTTCTTCCCTCCCTTTTACTGCCATAGTCCCCTTCCTCTTGAGGTGAGCATGTGTTGCCAAACTATGCACAAGATGCACTAGGAAGTGAAGTGGCAAGGGAGACTTCCCTCTAGGACACAAAAATACACCGTGGATGCTACACTGACCACAGAGATAACATCTTTAATGCAGGCAGGTGGAGAGACACTTCACAAATTTGTTCTGTCCCCAATGCATTTTTGAAACTCCCTTTGATGCTACACCCAAGCAGTCAGTTGACATCCCCAGAATGCAGCAAGGGAAAGCACAGAAGCTGCATTTTCACACATAAATGTCCTACTTTAGCTGAATCCTTCACAGGGCTCTTACATCAGCCTCTGAAGAGCATTTGAGACCAGCCCAATACAAGGGGAATACCAGCACAACACAGGACCTATTGATCCTCAAGCTTCAAATACAAAAACAAGAATAAACTACATAATTCTGCACTAGTAGTGAGTAAGACAATGAACAAGTCCACATGCATTATCATTTATACTTTGATCAACATACTAAAAAGGAGAGCAAAACAATGTTTATAGGTGCATAGTTTTTAGTGATTCAGCTTTTAATTACCATTTCATACAGTGCACTGCCATATTATTTGGAGGAAGGAATTGTTATTGGATAACACTACATGAGGCCCAAAGGCAGCTGAAACACATTCAGCTCCATCTGCCTTTTTTTCATTATCAAGCTACTGCAAGGCAAGGTAGCACGAAGATGTGGGGTGCTTTAATTTTTCCATGCAAACAGCTTGTTCTTGCCAAAACCACTCTCATTCGTGGTCATTCTCACTGCACTGAGGTCTAATGCAATTCCAGGTGAATTGGACAAGGGCATTGGCAAGTTATGATCAAGGACACTCTGGTTTTCTTCATAACTTGTCCTTAGGGCAGGCCTTTGAACTGACACTGGCTGCAAGGAACATGGGAATCTGAGAAGGTATATTTTGGGAGGAGAAAAAGAAAATATCTACTGGAGTGCATATTTAAATGAAACACATCCTTTGGCACCTTGCTGAAGATGATAAAATTTGAGACCTCACTGAGCACACCAAGAGCCAAATGCACAAGTCCAGCATCAGAATTTAGCCTCATTTTTATGGGAATGGTTATAGCTCCTTGTTCTCACTGGGGGTGGAAGGCACTTATTTAAACAAATTAAAATGGACTGTAGGGCACATTCATCTGCTTCTTACTCCAGAAAGAATCTTGAGTTACTCTCAGTCAGATTCATGCCTTGAGCCGTTCCACATCTAACCTAGCTGATATACCGAGAGTTGTTTGTGATGAGCATCCCTTTTTTTTTGTTAGCAGAGCTGAGAGTCATGACCAACCCTGAAGGCAACTGAGCCTCTGCCCACCCACCAGAACTACCTGCCTGGCACCACACACTGCTAGACTAGCTTGTGGCCAGCCCATTCCATAGTGACTTGCACACCCAGCTAAGATGATAATTTTCTTCTCATTTCAATTTTATATTATAAAAGAAGCTTGATAAAACAAAATTGCACTTGGATTTTTCTTGTCTCTTGAACTAGTGGTCTTAAAAAGGCAGCAACCACAAAGGTTTAATTGGTAGCTGTTTCAGTGGCTTTAAAAAGATACAGCAAGTAAGAAAGTTTCAACACAAGACATCAAAGGTAAAAGCTACATCTAGAAGTTTAGTCTTGTCAAGACAGTTTACCTCTCCTGCCATTCTTTTCACTCTGACTGCCACTCTGCACAGTCAGTTGTGAGCCAGTGACTGGGTAGTAACCTGTCCACCAACATAAGCTGACAAGACTTGCAGGGAAATGTAAACAGTTGGTACTGGATTTGGTTGTTGCTGTTAAGAAGCCTGCCCCTTCGGTTGCTCTGGAGCATTAATGTGTGCTGGATGATGGTCTGTTGAAATGGCTAATTCCATTTAATTTTGTGCTCTGGCTCTGGCTGCGTCCTTTTCTTCCTTAGTTACTGTCAGATCGTAGATTGCAGCTTTTGACAAGACAGCGAAGGGAAAAAGGTCAGCACTGAAATAACCGGGCAGCGCTGGCAGCGAGATGGTAGGTTGAAGCTGGTGTGCACTGGCTGCGCTGTCGGCTCCGCTTCTCTGACTCTGATGAGAAGCTGACTGCTTGCATCCACACCTGGTAGTTGATGTGGCCAGTAGGATGCCACATCCAACAAAACCTTTCAATCACATCTGCGTACCGTGAGCATAATCAAAGCAATGATGCTGTCAAACAGGATATGAGGCACCTCCGATTCTGCACTGATAGCCTGTTTACAGGCTGCATGTCTTGGTCATTTTAAATCAGAGGGAACAGGAAGGACCCGACTGCATTGCTCCACACTGGGGACAATGAATTTGCAGGGTCAAAAAGCATTAAGCATCAGATAACTGTCACAATATGACGAGATGAATTTGTAAACGGACTTGCCAGATACGTTCGTCACAGAGAGCCAGAGTCCCAACTGGAATTGTCACCACATGGAAATTATTCCATCAGCATTTTACTAAACCTCTAGTAAGTCAAAAAAGAAGCCAAGATCACCAGTAATCACCAACACAATAGTAATTATGAGAATACTTACAAGCAGTGGGTCAGGCCCCGCTTTAAGCCCTGATCATGACTTGCTTCCACTGAGCCACACAAAACCCTCATGATCTCATACCAGACTGCAAAAATTATTAGCAAGGCTAACTAAGTAAAAGCTAAACCAATTCTCACCTCCTCACTCCGATAAGTTTCATACAAAAAGCATGGACAGACACATTTCGAGGCTGTAAACAGGTAAGTGTCTTTGCTGGAGAATATGATAATATATTGCACTCTTTCCAAAGGTCTACTATTTTTCAATCATCATTTTGAAATGCAAATTTCTATTATCTATTTTTTAAAAAACAAACAAACAAAAAGTCTAACTTAAAAGGGGGAGGAATGTTGCATTTCTAGAAAATATTATGTTCTAATTTTCAGCCACTGTGTACATACACCATGCAAGTGGATATATATTTTGATATATGATTCAGGAGCTATGTATCTTAAGTATACATTATCAGTAAACTGTATCACTAATTACCTAAATTTAAAATGCATAAAAGTTCTAACATTAATAAAAAAATACTGAAGCCTATGAAGCAAAGCCAAAGGAATTACATTATAAAAATAAATCACATTACATATAGAGTAGAACTGTAACTGTCCAGTGAAGTGGATTCAAGATCTGGATTCACACTACCATGAAAAAAGTTGTTTAATCCCAGGAGATTCCTTCCAGGAGACAGTAGTGCACACAGCTATGCACATGAACCTCCAGCTATATTGGAAGCAAGTGGGATAATAAAGGATAATAAAGCTAAGCACAAATGTAAATATTTCGGCTATGGCTTGCAGGACTAGACTCATAATAAATACAATTACAGGCCTAATTCTTAGTGCCAAAACCCATTTAAATACAACATGATATAAACAGCGTACACCATTTGGAGCTGCAGCTTTGGCTTCCACCTTTTTTCAAGTTCTCTGCTGCTTCAGACAAACCTTCAAGCACATGAGACCCAAATCTTCCCGCCCTGGTGACTGAGCACTGTGCTTCATCATGTGCCAGCCCTTGCTTTCTCACCAGGGACAGAACAAACCTCAGAATTGTGCTTCATCATGTGCCAGCCCTTGCTTTGTCACCAGGGACAGAACAAACCTCAGAATTTAAGTGAAACAAGTGCAGTACCTTGCTGAATCAGCAGCAACACACTGAAACTGCTGAATTTATATTGGTCTTATTTGAAAGCCATTAAGACAAGGAAAAACTTCTACAGAGGCAAGTAAGGTGATGATATTATTTTTCTTTTTTTAAGGACAAACTATTTTTAAAATGTACTTGTGTGTTCTTAATCACATTTGTGATAAACTAGTCACCTAGTAAGCTTAGCAAAAAATGAAGTGGTTTGAACTCATTATCCTTTGGAAAAAAAAGAAATTTTACTTTTTTTGCTGAAATATATTCAATTTTGAAAAGAAAGTATTTTCTTGAAAATTTATTTCCTCAAATATTCCAGAAAAATATTTTCAATTTTCCATTTGAAAAAATGGTTTCAAGTTCAACTTTCCAATATTCTTACTATTATTCCAAACAATTGCAAGAATACTACTGAAATCCCTTGTATTGGAACACCATGTTTTCACGTAGCTAAATGAATTTTTATTGAACAGGACAGCTTGCGCTAAGCTGTTGCACAAAAAAATTTCCAGATATACAGTAAGCAAGCAAAAATAGGAAGGAATTTATCACTATGAAATAATAATTTAAAAAAAAGCTTTAAATGCCAAAGCTTTAAAACTGGTTGGTGTTTTTTTTTTATCAACTCCACAAGATTTTTAAAGATATAATCATTGCTTTAAGTTTTCCACAGACAAGATTTTACCACAAACTTCTAGTCCATAATTATATACTTAGGAATAATTCAAAAGATGCAAGGGTGTTTCATGTTGAATTGAAATATTCAGGGCAGGATCATATTGTGATCAACACGTGGAAATGAAGAGTGAACAATTTCTCTGTGACATTTATCAAATTTTTCCTGAGTTTCATATTTTTTATGTGTTTTCAAGGTCAGCTTTCATGCATCACTGATATTTTATTTTTATGTTCTCCTTTTTACAGTGTACAAGGAGATGAACACAAGACAGTAACACTAGAGCTAAATAACCATGCTGTAAACTGTACCTTCCAGCAAACTTATGGTGTCACTCTTACTCTGCTGCAATAGTCTTTTAAGCAGACAAAAATACAGCAAGAGAATGGCTAACGTAAACCAGAACAAACCCAAGTTAAATATACTAGACATGAAAGGCATGAAATTATCAACAGCTCCTCTGGGTGTCCCTCATGTTTACCATACAGACTAATGGTTCTTTTAAATAAATAAAACATTAGCATTTTAGAAAACACAAGAGGTATCTTGGCCTATGTAGCAAATCATATTTGGTTCAATAAACCTGAAATTTCTATGAATGTTTTGCAAAATCTTGTTCTAATTGCTGACAAGTCCTAGCAGATCCCAGGAACAGTCTTTCCAGAAATTTGTGAGATGTCGCCTTTAGACCGCAAAACACCTCCATCAGTCTGGCTTTACATCACTTCTGTGTCTCTTTCAGATTTTTTAAAGAGTGGTATCCCCAATTCCCAAAGTCCTACCTCTGTCAACCCTCCGAGCTGCTACTCAGCCACAGCAGCTACATGTTTATTGGCACAGTGTTTTTCTGAAGCTGAGAAGGAACACGCAGGGCTTTAGCCATGGCCCAAGAGGATGCTCTAATACATCCACGGGCTTCAGCTCCAATACCATGTGTACTTAACATGGCAGTTAGGTAGTTACTGACATTTCTTCAGTGTCAGTCACTCACCTTATCACAGTTTTTGTGGACACTTACCTCCTGCACAAACACTGGACGGCTCAGCCGCTAGGATCTCAATGCAAGATTTCTTGAGAATCTGAAAGATTTAGAAAATGGCATTTTTGGTAACCATTTTATCTATGCTTTATTAATGCAGGAAAGGACACCCTTTTCTGGGTTTCAGAATATCAAACTTACTGAATCAATTGTTCCTCTTAGGGCATAAAAGCCTCCCTTTACTGGAAAAACATGATCGATGCTGTCAGCAATCGTTGACAGCTGCAAAGAAAGACAATCATAAATCATGAGGAAAACAAAATTACAGTGAACAAAACTGGGCCCTTTCATACTTGCTAGAAGACATCATAGTGACATGAAATGATTTATGCCTCGAGTAATTAAATAAATGCGTTCATCTGATGCTGTTACTTGTGCAGTAGTATAACAGAAAAACAAAACAAGAAGAAAGCAAAGTTACCTGAGTCTCATTGAAATCTTTCACTCCAACACAATAAACAATAGCTCCAAAGCTTCTGGCTCTGTTGGCCTAAAAAAAAAAAAAATAAAAATTGCCATTAAGTGTAAAGCCATATAATCAGTGGAGCCAGCAGTAAACGTCTACAGGTTTGACATAAACTAGTTTGGATAAACATGAAGGTGACTTACTTCTTGTTCTGCATAATAAAACTGAGCATCTTGCAATTCTCCATCCGTCAGAGCAATAATCACACTAGCAGTCCGAACTCCTACATGGAGGACAGTTAACAGATTGCATACATATGACACAAGAGTCAGCAATGAAAAACAAGTTTGAAGTGAGGCAATCCTTTTTGCTGAAAAATAAATACAAAACCATAAGGCCAGACTCTCAGCCTAATTTGCATGGACTTGGTGATATACCAGCTGAAGGCCAGATGCAAAGCATGCAATAAGCCAAAAACCAGTGCACCTTCACATCACAAGCATCACTGAAGGGGCAGTGCTGCTCTAACGAGGTCCACACACGGACTTTTCTGTTCTGCATAAAATACAGCACCTACTGAGTTTACCACCTTTCACATGGAGAACTGACAAAATGGATCTGCAGAGAAGGAGAGGTTTCCTTTCTTCTTTTGACAAACTTGTTTGTAGATAAACCTTGTTCAGAGATTGTAGTAAGAGATACCTCTGCAAAAGGAGCTTCCCTGCCATTCTACCTTCCTCTCCAGCAGACTTTCAAAGAGCAACCCCACTGAACATGGTATGAAGTGTGCTTCTGTGGGGTTGTGGGAGTGCTTCTCAAGCAACAAGAATTTCCAGTAAAATTCACAGGAATTCAGAGCATGTGAAAACCTCAAGATCAGGGAAAAAAAATCATGTCTTGTGAGGCACGTATCCCATATAAGCTTAAGTGAAAAGGTTGCATAGGCTGCAGATATCTATATATGCAATGGAGTATAGAATACAATGCTGCCTAAAATGCAACAAGTTCACAAAATTAAACCAAATTAACATGCAAACTATCCTTCAACCAAACATTCTGAGTCCATAGTTCTTAAGCCAAGTAAAAAATATACACACATGTTACTTTCAGGGAAGTGTTTGTTATTTTTTCAAAATAATCTGTTACAATTTCAAGTGTCTTCCCCCATATTGTCTGAAATTAAAGACTGATTAGTTCTGACAGGTTTCTTATGCCACGCAGTCCTTCCCATGTCATGTCAGACACAGACATAAATCTTAAAAAAACGACCTGCAACTTGGGAGGAAAAAAATAGCTTGGATTTCCATATTCCTCTTTTTTTTTTTTCTGCCCAGCATGCTTTAAAAAGGCTGAAAAAAATGGAGATCTTATTTTGTTTTCTTCTCTACACTTGTTTCTTCCCTGATAATTTTGTTTATGAATCCAGATCTTATCTACTCCATTTTCCTCCCTAATAAATCTACAGAATACTTGATTAGTTCTTAGCTATATGGTATAATGAGGTAAAATTGTTTTCAGCTGGACACTTCAGGACTCCTGATTTTACTGGCAGAAGTGCCTGCAATGCTGTGCAGAGCTGCTGCTGTAGACTCTACTCTCATAGCCTATTTTAATAAAAAGGCACTGGCCTGTTTATCCATCTTCCAAAAAGACCATCAGCTAACAAGAACAATTTCACACAAGGGTATGAACCAGGCAAGACTTGTTAACTAATTAGGACTTCTTTTGGCACAGACAAAACCCACAAATACGCTTTTCTCTCAAAATTTAGTGAAAATGTACATTTTAGCAACTTGGAATCTGAACCCAAATCATTCACACTGATGTAAAAACTTCAGCTAATTGTATTCATACCTACAATAATGAGAACGAGGACTTGGGAACACAAAGGAGACAGGGTTGAAGGCATCAGGACAGAAGGGCACAGGAAAACCTGGGTATTCCTGTCTCCTGCGTGCAGGACGGGTAGCTGTAAATGGTTTGGTCTGCATTCTGCAATGGTCAGATCTGGGATCGTACTGGTCTTCTCTGGTCTTAATAAACCATGAATCATGCATTTAAAAGTAGGATTGTAGTCAAAATGGAATGTAGTATTGCATAACACCAATTCCTTCTCCAATACTTCTTTCAGTGGGTTTACTGCAGGTCATAAAAAGAATTATAATCCCTGTCTTTTCAATGCAGATATATAACATGAACACGTACCTCCATAGGTTTCGTGGTAAATTTGCTCATTTGCCTGCAAGGAAGTGCAGAACATTGTTAGCCCTTAAGTATACCAGCATCAAGTAAGCAAAGTTTATATGTATAAAACAAAGAAAGTAGGTACTGTGATGCGTACCCTTTTAAATCCTTCATGCATGAACGTGTCTCCTCCAGGCACTTCATCCCGAAGAATGTCGAGTCCTCGTCTTATGGCTTCCCTTTGGATTGAAAAAAAAAATTACAAACAAACAAACAAAACCCCAGGAGAACATTTTATCAAAAGTTCTTCTTTTCTTTTGTTGAGATATTCCTGTACCACAGCTAGATTATGCACCCTGTCAATACACAATATTGCACAGAGTACAATACCATCAGCCAAAGCACTGGTTAAATCGAGTTTTTTTTCAAAATCCACAATTTCTCAGCCAAGCACTCATAGGGGCACAAAATCAGATACATAGTACAGTGTTAGGGTAACATATTTTACGGATGCAATTCTGTCCCTGCTCCCTCATTCTGGTATACTGTCAGCCAGGATAGGATTGAATTAAGGAATATGCCAGATATTCAACTTCGACAAACTCCAGACCAAAAGAGAATTTAAAAGCTTATGACCCTGTCACGAAAATAGGAAAAATTAAAACTCCGTATCCAATCAGTCACGAGGACAGTTGAATATAAAGACAGAGGCCAAAAGATGATAGAAGACAATGGGAATGATGAGAATTTCCTATCCTCGACCAGGCACTGATCAACTTTCCTGGGGTAGAGCTTTCTCCCTGGAACCTGAAGCCCTTGGATACCATGACCCCTGGTGCATAGCTTCATACACCACAAATACCTAGAATAACCTCAGTGAAATTAATAATTTAATTATCACAGATCACTAAAAGACCCTGATCCTTGGCAAAGTTTTCATTATATTTATGGAACACATATAAGGCAAAAATACTCAACAGATAAAGATGTAGTTAGTTCAAAAATCACCTTAGGATGTCATGGGGAATCCTTTAATTAAAAGAATAGTGAGAACCTATCTAAACTCCATTTTGCAACTGGGTATTTTACATGACACAACCACAATTACAGAGAATACAGGAGTCTATGTAGGATGAAGGTAAAAATCAGGAGCTGGGACTGGGGATGTCCTTAGGGCAAAAAGCACATTTTTACCCTTTCAAAGTACAAAATGAGCTGAAAAGGCCCACATAGAGAGAACAGAAGTTTAGGAGAAGGAACACTCTAATACCATGTTCAACATATTGCCACAAGGTTCCTGTCTACTTTCCACCTTGCAAAGAGTAAATCCACCTGGGAAAAGTAAGCAAGTTTGAGCTCTGTCACCATGGTACATGATGGAGACCTGAGCAAAAACTCAGGGGAGCCAGCAGAAACGCAAGACCCCTGCAGGGTTTCTGGCTTTGGATAAGGCCCTAGAGTACAAAGCAGAGGAAGTGGTTGTTCTTTCAAGACTGCTGCAGAGTCCCCATTATTTATAGGGTGCCCTGTACTATTGAGGTCTTCTCACACAGACAGCAGCAGCAGCAAAAGTGAGGACTTTAGGCTGAAATGAAAGAAACACCCCCAACAGGGATTTGTACGTGTAAGGTAAATTAAATTATTTTTCTTTTTGAGAGGGGGGTTGGATTGGGGTTTTTTTGGTGGGTGGTGGTTTTGAGTTTTGTTTGTGGGTTTTTGTTTGTTTAAAAAAGATAATTTGTGAAGGTCACAACAAGAATTTTGCTCCAGCTTCAGACTTTTCTTACAAAGCCTGTCACTTGGCTTTGCAAACCACCTCTGGAATGGGTGTTGTCTGCAGGCAGCCCAGGAGAGGGGTGTGATAGCCTGGTAAGGGACTGCTCCAGCACTGGGTACGACCACCTGCTGGTGTGAAGTTCAGGGCTTTGAGTCTCTTCCAAGGGCAGTGGGGGATTTTCATACAGTCTTTCGCTCATCAGTTCATGCTCTGAGATCTCTTCCACAAAAACAGCCCTTATTTGGGTAGTTGGGGATAGCAAGGATGTACCTGGATCCTCAACTGGAAATGCAGTTTCTCCCTGAAATACTGCAGTAAAGAACAGACAGCCTAGTGCTGCCTTTCTCTTATAAAGCTAAAAAGAAAATTGTAATGGGAGACCTAAAGGCTTTCTAAGCCCTCCTCCAGCTGGGAATGGTGGAGAGGATTTCAGTTGCTGCCACACCAAGGATGAAGACAGACCTCCAAATTCTGAGGAGACTCACTGTTTGAGAGGAGGGATGGAGGGTACTTCTGGATGAAAGCTGTGGGGAGTACTTGCCTGTTCTCTGTTAGTTTCATGATTGTAGTGCCTCGTGAAGAAAACACAATGAAAGACATCCGCAACATTGGACTGAAACAGAAGAACAAGCCAGAGCCATGTCACATACAATACTTCAGCAAATTTTCATTTGCTAAGAAGCACTGAACAAAAAAATAAGTTGTATAAATATAGGAAATTAAAATATCATCTTAAGAAAACTTTACCTTATGAACTTCTCCGCTAGGCTTTCCACAAAAGAGTAAATCTCAGTCCAGTGATTTCTGACACTTCCAGATCTGCATACAAAACATAATTCATTATATTAATCTTTCTTTGCAATTAAATTCCTTTTTCCACTTTGAATTTTAAACCTGGCCTACTCCAAAGGTAGGGAGGGACATAAATTACATATAGTTGTGCTGCAAGCTGTAACGGGAACCATGAAGACAAAATTGACTGACTCAAAGACAAGTAAAATAGGTCTGAAACAGTTTACCATACAATATTGAAACAAGTTCAGTAACCCTTCCATCTGCTTTTATTCCTTTTATAGCATAAAATATAAATATCTTCTTCTAGTTTAATTAATTTTATTTGACTTCATTAAATCATCTGCTAGCAGGTTATTTACTTCCCTAGAGCACAGCTCTGCCCTTGAAGCCACAGAGTCTTGACTGATCTTCTATTCTCCCAGAATGCGTGGGAGAATGTTTCCATGAATTACTGTTTGTTTCAAAAGAGAAAGCTTTTGAAATAATTCAGAAAGGAAAGGCAGTACTCTTGGCTAATTTGCTGGACTAGTGTTCTGGACAATCAATCCCTGGCTCCTTTATAGATTTCTTGTGAAAACTTGGGTAACTTAGTTACATGCAGAGGACTTACACATTCATGTTGCCATTCCCATTATATACAACTGTATTACTGGCACTCCCTGGCTTTTTTTTTTTTTGCCAAGTCTTATCAGGGACCCCCACAGTCTGATGGGACTCAGACCCCAAACAGAGCCTTGCACACAGCAACTCTACAGTAAATTATAGGCAATTTCTACTGTGTTGTTCTATACCATACACTTTCAAGACATTAAAAAGGCAACAAAGCATGAAAAGTCAATGGTTTTAAAAGCCCTCCCTGGGATTGTGACATTTATGAAAGAATGACCCATTTGCTTTCCTTGCTTGCCAAACTCATCTCTCAGGTGTCTTAGGCAGAACGATAAATGAAACAATAGCACACACAGAAAAATCACAAGGGCTTAGATGCAGAACTAAAAAAGTTCTGAAATTTAACTACTATAAAGCAGTAGGGTTCCTCTTAACTGCTGCTAGGCATTTTTCTGTGTAAACATGAGAAAACAATTTCATATTACAATTCTCAGCTCTGCTGTGGGCTTTCCAAGTGACCCTGTGCCAGTCACTCCTGCTCTCGGTATGTCAGGTACAGAGCAGCACACAGAAGTCCACATGTGCCCACTGCCTGCCCTGCAGCAGTGCCAGTAGAGTGGAGAAGAGCAAAGATAAAGGGACAAGGACCAAAAGGAGTCTCCTAAGTACAAAAGCTAGAATAAGCTGTCTTGTGTAACCCTGTGCTTTTTATGCTGCTCTTCTAGAGAACTGGTGATTCATTCACAGAACAAACTGGTTAACAGAGAATGAAGAAATTGCCAGGCACTCAGACAGGGCAACAGAACACCAGGGACTGCTCAAACCAAGGGTCTGGATCCTCTACAGTCTCTCATTTATATGTGCTACACAACAACATGTCAGTGTATTTGTGAACAGCACCAATGAAAGGTGCTGGCACTATTACCAAATTAACCCTTTCCTCATCATTAAAACAATAATCCATAACTCATGCAAGGTATATAGTTTAAAGACTGCTTTTCCAAAAGAGATCCAAGACAGCTCAACACCTATAGTTCTCCAGGATTTTTCTAAAAGTCCCAGGCTAAATCTCTAAACATGAAGTCAGAGAGATTTTCCTTGAGTCTCTCCAAGATGCATTTACAGCTCCCAATTTTTTTGTGTTCTTTCCCCCCTGGAGCCGACACACTCAATTTCATTCTGAGCTTGCCATCTGACTTAAATTCAATTCCTGAAATTTTCAATGAAGTCAATTCCCTACACAGAATACCCATAGTTTCTCACTTGGAAAAGACTGACCTATTTTGGACAAGGTATCAAATTTCTACTGCCAGCTGCAGAGGCACTGATGCAATCCGGAAAAGAAAGTAGCAGTGAATTTTCTTTAGAACAGCAACAAACCATTTTCAGTATCTTCTTGGGACTGTCAGAATCCTTTTTTTTTCCCCTCCCTTCTCTTTTTTTAATCTACTCCTCAGGCAAAGAACATCTTGGTAAAACAGCCTAGACACTGAAAATTCAAGAAGATCATAAGTCAGTAATAGTGGAAAAACATGAAGACTTTTAAAGTGAAAATGCACAGGTAATACTATGCACTTCTACATACCCTGACTATAATGAAACACCCTTCTCCCCTAAGAAGAATGCTGCACTCACATCTTGCTTATCAGCTGGGAAGTATCAAAGTGTCCCATCTATCAATAGGGAAATGTCAAAGCCAAATAAAAATACTAGCAAGAAAATATAAATGTTTTTAAATCCCATGGAGAGAGTACCAGTGAAGTGGTCAGCACTTAATCACTTTCCCCATCACACTCCTTCAAGCGCAGGTGTGTCATCTCCCACTGCAAATGGTGCCCAAATAACACAAATGCCAGTCATGTCTAACCCATTATGAACACCAGTGTGAGTGGCCTGGCTTATAGAAGAACCTGATTTCCCCTCCCTCCCACCAAACCTCACCTCTAAATATCCCTGTTTGTAATGTACTTTTATTTGCCATTTCATATATACATGTTTTGGAGGCTTCTTGGGTTTGTCCTGATAGTTTCATATGTTGCCCCAGAGGCCTGACTCCATACTACCAGCAACAGCAGTTTTAATGGCAGATTAAAAAAAAAACTTTAACAACAAAATGTTTGCTAAATTATATAGTAAGTTGCCAAATGCTGTCAAATATGAGCCCCAACACTGACAAACAGAACTGCCCAACACTACTGAAAATCCTGACCTATTTCACTGCCTTTGGGATCTTATCTTTCACACTGCAGAGTCACTGTTGCTGTCAGCATAAACTAACTTGCTGCCCTTCATGGCTGAATCAGACTCAGAGGCTTTTGCCTTGGTTTCCCCCATGGCATGTGGGAAGCTCCAAACATACTCTAAGCTCCTTTCTGACCACGACCAATGCTTGAAAGCCGTTCTTATATTTAACTCCACAGTTACCAAGCCCAGAGAAAGAACAGGGTCTTTCAGTGATGCTCTGCAATACAGGTTACTCTTGGACATCCACACAGCATATTTTTTACAGCCATTTTGGTGCTTTTCTTGTTTCCCTTCAAACTTTACAGTAAGCAAAAACAAACTCCTCTTAATCGGTGTACCTGTGCTAATAGGAGCCTGAGATAGAGCTGGCATGTGATTCCCAACGTACCATCAGTAAATGAACACAAACAGATTCCTTGTCTGGCCTGTTTGGCCACCAAATGATACTCTCCTGTAAGATTCCTGAGGAACTGTGAAGACTTCAGAATAATGAGAAAAGAATAAACGAAGCACAGAGAAGATCAGCACTGTGCAGAAAAAACACTGGGGTGGGACACACACTCACCCCCCCCCATCAGCAACTAGGAGAAGCCATGGGGAAGTGACACAGCCAGGGAATCCTATGTAGCCTGTTGTGGAGTTCTATACCAGCAGATCTACCAAGACAGCACTGTGGCTGTCTGCAAAATAAAGAAAGCCTGTGTTGCAGCCATAACTGTCTTGCAGACCTCGTGGGTTTCCTGCTTTCAGCCATCAGCTACCTGGTTCAGCTCCTCACATCAATCGAAGGCTGCCATCACTCAGCCAAGCCCTGGCCTTCCTCCCTGTGCTCTCCCTGCTGAGGAAGCCCAGTGAGCCTAACATTTTCTGTAAAGTATCAAGCACCACAAGCCAAAGACTTCTGCAGATGGTGACAAACGGGTGACAAGCAGGTTGTATGCCTTTTGGAGTCAAGCAGGACGGTGAGGCTTCAGGCCTGGGAGGTTGCATAATTCTCATGGTGAGGAAAGGGCAAAGCAATACAGAGCTGCTGTGGGCAGCCAGAATGCCCCAGAAAGCATCTCAGGGCCTGCTTCTGCTGCCTGTTCCACTGGGGTGAACCCAGAGTGGGACCAGAGAAGCCCTGGTTTATGCCTATGCAATTGGGACCAGAATTCGGCCCAAGTGAAGTTAAGAAAAAAACCACAGGAGTCATTTGTCTTGAGCATGCTCCCTTCTCCACAAGCTCTGTTCCCATTACACGAGACAAAGAGAAAAGTCAGCAAACCACAACACAGGAAAGAATGTCCTCCCGGCCTCATCAGGACTGGGCTCGGAGGAGCAGCTGCTGCCGCAGCTCCTGCTGCTGCCGTTTTCCTTAATTTCACATTGCTACCACTTGATGGGAGGGGAAAAGAGGAGGTCAGCGAGTATTTCTGGGGGTGGAAGGAAGTGATGTGATTCCAAGGCTTGATTCTGCTCCTACTGACTTTGGAGAGATTCCTTCTAGTTTAGCGGAGTTCCGTGTCAGTATAAAAACAGTGAGCATGTTAAGAGTTGTGCCTACCCAACCTGAAGTATTTCACTGCTGCTTGTTCAGACAACAAAGAGCAAGATGGACTGAAAACATTCTCTCTTCTTTCCTAACAGGCTCCAAGAGGCAGAGGAAGCTGGAGCCCAGAGAAATGAAGCAGCACAACCCTGGCATATGGGATGCTGCTCTCAGCTCAGTCACTTCAGCAAGCAAAAACCAGGAGGGCCAGTTCTGTCCGTCCTAGAGTACGTGATGCACAGTTACCACTAAATTCACTGTCAGGAGCACATACAGATCAACCCAGTGCAATATACAGCACTCATGCAGCTTTGCAGTAAAAGTTAAAACTCCAGCCCTACCCAAACAGTAAATATTTTTATTACCATACACAGAGAGAAGGCAACAGGACCCAAAGCCTTTCATCCCTGCTGAAAGTGACAAAGTGAAATCCCTTGAGAGCACAGCACTTTCCCTTGTCCTATTCCACACATACACACACACCACATGCACATTTGCCTCCATTACAGATTTAGCTCAAGGCAGCAATTCTGGAGACCCTGAAGCAAGAAAAAGAAACATTATTACTGATGGATTTAGTCTGAGTACGGTGTCAAGGGAGTATACCTCCTATTGAGTCTGTAGGTCCCAGTAAATCTCT